TGGGGCTCTATTTCTGCAGTATTAAGACTGCTAAGGGAAGATCTGTGATCAGTTTATAAAGAGTGAAACGCACAGCAGGAGTCCACTTGTCACTGAAGATTACCATCAGCCATACTAAAGACAACAATTTATTCTCTGTAGTTATGCAAGAAACATATATTACATACTGCTTTATACAAAAAAATAAAAAATATGCCTGCTTACTGAATTTCATAAATAGTTAATACCTTAGAAATTAACTTTATAAAGGAACATTCAGAAGAGGTTATACAAACTGTTAGGGTGTTTGGAGTCTTCCTTTAATTACTTTTTTGTTATGTGCTGTAGCTCAGACGTGGTCATAGTCCATCATAGCCCGTGACTAAGGACAAACAGTTGTGCCGGACAGAAAAATTATTGTGCGGCACAACTGAGCAATATGTATATTGCCACTGTATGCAAATCTGTATCTGACATATTTCTGCTCCGTGCCCATTGCACACAGCCCATCTGTGCCCAACAAATAATAGCATGAGTTCTCCCAATAGACCTCTAAGTGCTTCAGACTGCTTAAAAAGAAGGATTTTAAATACTTGAAGTTTCAGATGCACATGGAGATGGTTTTATATACAGTCATAGGAAGCCATGTGTGCAAAACTAAGTACACCTTATGATTTAATAGCTTGTAGAACCACATTTAGCAGCAATAACTTAAAGTAATATTTACTGTATGACTTTATTAGTCTCCCACATCATTGTGAAGGAATTTTGGCCCACTCTTCTTTACAATGTTGCTTCAGTTCATTGAGGTTTGCTGGCATTTGCTTATGCACAGCTCTCTTAAGGTCCAAACTTAAGATGTTGGGCAGAAGGCCTCACATTTGATACACAGAGGAGTTCATGGACTATTGACTCCAAGGTTCCAAGGACCTGTGGCTGCAAAACATGCCCAGATCATCACCCATCCACCACCATACGACAATTGGTATGAGTTGTTTGTGCTGATATACTGTGTTTTCGCCAAACATGGAAATGTGAATTATGACCAAAAATCTCCACTTTGGTCTCGTCTGTCCAAAGGACATTGATCCTGAAGTCTTGTGTTTTGTTCCGTTGCAACTTTGCAGACCTAAGGTGTGCAGCCATGTTCTTTATAGAGAGATTAGGCTCTCTACCAGCAACCCTGTAGAGTCTGAGGTGTTTTTTGCAATTTCTCTAAACATTGCATGGTCTGACCTTGAGATGAATTTGGTGGGATCTTTCTCATGGTAGAATGAAGGACTTTAAAATGTTTGGAAATGGCCTTATAGCCCATCCCAGTTTGATGAGCAATGATATTTGCTTCTCTAAAATCATTGCTGATGTCTTTCCTCCGTGGCATTTTGTTAACACACACCTGAATGCTCCAGGCCAGCAAACTGCTAAAACTTTGGCTTTTATAGAGATAGTCACGCTTGCTGAAAATCAATTAATCAAGGGCACTTGCTAAGCATCACCTGTCTGCTACTTAGTCCCTTAATTCTAATGGAAGCAGCTTTTTCACACGTCTTCTCCATTTTGGATTTATTTTTGTTAAATAAAGGATGACACAGTGTAATATGCCATGTGTTGTTGCTCACCTGAGGTTGTATTTACCTAATTTTAAGACCTGCTAAAGAACATATGATTGTAATTATGTCCTGATATGTAAAACCATAGAATTCTTAGAGGGAGTACTTTCTTTTTCCCATCACTGTACATGATGAGATAGACAGAAACATGACTACATACAAAGACATAAACTTAGACTGACAGATAAACAGACAAGCATTTACACAAATATAAAAGCTAACCTTCCCTCCCCCCCTTACCCCCCTGTTTATGTCACTCGCAATAAACATACACCTTGTATATAAGGATGTCTATTTCCATTGGAGAAGCACTAATATTTGAATAAAGTTATACAAGTAGCTAAACAAAATATACCATCCATAACACTGCCTCACCTTATGGTTTGTTGGCATACTTTCGAATCAATAACTCCAAATTCACAATCCTCAAAATGTCAATGCTTTGAGCTGCAGCTGGGATGACCCTCCATGTGTTTTCTTTTCAATGGTCTGACACTTCCTTCACTTGGGTGTTTGGTTGACCAGAAACCTCAGACAACTCTATCAAACAAATTCCCTTCCAATCCTCAATCAATTTCAACAAAATCTGTAGGAATGGATGTTGCCACACCCAGAGGCGTAACTAGACACCACGGGGGCCCAGTGCGAAAATTGCCCTGGGGTCCCCCTTCATACATCCCTGCCCCCCCAATACGTCTATCCCTCCCCCCCCCCATATGTCCCTGCAGACAAACACACAGGCACACGTACATGTAGACACACACATACAGTAACAGACACACACATACAAACACACACACACACATACATTCAGACAGACATACAAACAAACACACATACATACAGCAACCACTACCTTCCTAATTAATTAATATATTAGGCTGCAATGAAAAGTGTGAGACACCACAACCCACAAATTGTCAGCACAAAAAACTGTCACTGGCCCTGTATGCATTATGGACATTATGGTTCTCTGCCAGGTGGCTGCCTTGCAGGTTAAGGTGGCAGGTGCTCTGTTTAATCTCAAATATTTATTAAACAAATACTGTGTAGCTCACTATAACTTATAGATGGATAGTTTAGATGAAATTGTGCTAACAATGTTCAAAAATATACTTGGAAGAAATTGGTTGCCATTTATTTTATATAAACCTTTGAAGCTTAGTGAGGTGTAATATAGGATAGACTAATATTGTATAATCAGAATGCTCTATTTTGGATTGTGTTTGTTTCTGTCCTACTCCTGGGTTTGGGATCACTTGTGAATAATACATTCCTTTTGTCATCAAACTCCAAGTGACCTCTCCTGCTGGGTTGTAGCCTTTCATATGCCTTAATCTAAAGCCAGTAAAAGTCTGGAAACATATATAACTTTGTTTTTGGATACCCTGTCGCTTGCATCTCCACATTGCTTTTCAGTGAAGATATTTATGACTATGCCAATAATGTCAATGCAAAGTAAACCCCATTTTCTCAGAAGCCCAGGTAAAAAAAGCAGTTCATGGTTATTGTGTGTATTATGAAGAAAAAGTTAATTAAACCATAGCTCATAGGACTGACTTTTACATCTTCATTCTTCTCGGAAACTACCCCCAAATCAATGTCTATATATCATCATGCCAGTAATACATCTGAAATGTGAAAGATAGTAAAGTCATAATGTGTCCTTAAAGATTGAACGCAGCCTGTAAAAGACTTTATGCTAGCACAGAATGCCCTGCTTATTTAGTATAGGAAGAGCTATACAGCCCTGCTATAGTCAAATGAGTGTGACATTCTACTTTTATTTAAGATCATTAAAGGCTAGATTGTTCTTATGGAATGATTCCAATTGTGATCTCTAAGTGTTTAAAAACCGCATGTTTTAATTTCCCAAAATTCCTGTTTGATTTGAACTCTTTTAAAAACGCAACAACAATGCCTGTGCCATATTCCCATAACTCATGTTTTATCAGGCAGCCAAGACATATCCATCGCTTCCAGGGAAGCAAAGTATCCTGGGTAATTACATGCTAATGAGCTCTCAGACAGTCAGCTATAATACCCATTAATTATATTTTATGCTTCTTGTAAACCATTTCTCTAGAGGCTGCAGGGAATAGTAGGAACAGCTATGCAAACAATGACTTGGACTTTACCTGCACAGCTTGCCACCAGACTTTGCATGGATAAACCACAAACATGATGTATTCTCTGCATCAGAATATTGCTGTTTTGCTTTAGGATATTCCAAGTGTTTTGTTTCACACGTGGGTTAAGCATGAAAATGCCCAAGGGGTGACACATAGAACAGGCAGCAGCAATGAGCACAAATCAGCACGGTCAAGATCACCTGGCAAATCCAGAGTGTTCCACAAGAAGCATTCTCTGAGGATTAGCCACAAAGCAAAGAATTATTGGATGCGCAGCTGCAAGCGTGTGTGCACAGTAAAAGGATTTCAGTCACCCCCTGCTCTTTATAATCTCAGCAAACTGCATGTATAGAGTGTTGAGGGACAACAGGGTTCCTGTATATCAAAACAAATAATGCTTATACATAAAGGAAGGTGCGAACGTCAAAAAAGCTTGAAAATAACAATATCTGTAGTTTAAAATAAGTAATGAAATATTTTTTACCAAACAAATTTACACACTTCCTTTGCATTACAGCAATTATGGGTTGCACATAACAAATA